GACTCTCTAGAGAAGGCGATTCTGGGAGATGTAGTTCCCTACTTCTCCTTTATGTTGCAGGGATTGGGAGCTCACAGTGATGCTGAATTGACAACAAAGAATACAGCACAGTCCATCCTTGTCAATTTAGCATCAATAGATATGACATTGGCTTTGGGACCAGGTGGCATGCAGAGACTGAAAAACAATGAGGAGAGTATAGTGAGCAAACTTAGTGGTGGCTGGACAGGAGGTGATGAAACTATCTTGAAGCCTAGAAATAGGGCAGCCCATATTTCCCAGTAGCAAAACAATCTGTAAAAGTGTGGCCTCCAGTAACTTGAAAGATAAAATGAGTTTGATGAACTCGTGGATCTGACCAAGAAGATTTCCAGGCAGAATGCCGATTAACAGTTTTTTAGTTGTGTATAATAAGGTGTGGAAAGAAAAAAGGAATTAAAGTTTGCAAGCAAAATTTAGAAGAAATATATAAGAGCTAGGACTTCCTAGATAGGAAAACAAAGCTATTTCACGTCACCAATCTGTCCAGATAGCAAAAGATTCTCAAAGTAAAAATGGCCTCGGGGGAAAGAACAGATAAAAGATATGGCTGTAAAATCCTTTATTAAGACTCCGCCAAAGATCTTATCCTCTCACTTAACTTCGTTAAACATTTTGAAGACTTCTGATTGCCTGTAAAATAAAACCCTGTGCCCTTATCATGGTATGACAGCCCCTTCATTATTTTCCCTAGGTAACTTTCATCCCCTCACCTCCAACCCTGGGCCGAATGCACCTTCGCAATATCCACATCCGACTACTTACTTCACATGTCTGAATGCATCCTACATTTTTATGCCTCTGCTTTTGTTCATATTTTTCCCCCCACCTGGAAAGGCTTTCACTGTTTCACCATGGTGGGATACTTCTCCTTTACCAGTATTTCTGGGACACTTTATACATACCTCTATAATGCCCTTATTGCATCCTATTACTGTATCATAGTTACTTGTTTAGCTGTCTCATGACCATGCTGGTTTCTTAAAGACAAGAACAATGTGTTGCTTTGCTGTTTGGTTTTGTTCAGAGGTGGGTTGGTTTGTTTGTTTGGCATCTTTTACACGTAGCAAATTAATCAGAACATAAATAACACACAGTAAATAGTTCTTAAAGGAATAAATGGGAACAAAGAAATATAATAAGAGCTGAAGGGAAGACTCAGAGTTGGAAACGTAGTGAAAAAAATTTTGGAAACATGTTGAACATGTTCCTACCTTTACAATTTACATATTTAGACCTGTTCACCATCTTAAACATTTCCAGCAAGAAATAAGCAATTCATTCTATTGGATATTTGCCTCAATTTAAACACATTTCTTACTCTATAATATAATCTTTTTTACAGAAAAAGTAGTTATTTTATAGATCTCGTGAAATGGGAGATAATAACTGTACCCACCTTGTAGATTAGCAGTGACGATTCAATGGGTTAAGATGTGTAAAGCGCTTAGCACAGTCCATACAGAAGTAAACACTCAGAAAAGATAAATATTATTACTCTAATTGAAACAGGCAATTTGTAGGTTCTCATGAGGTCTCAACAGAATTGAATTTTACTTTCTTGCCTCTCTACAATGTTATTATTAAAACTATTTGGGTATGACCCCCCCCCCAGGTTATTTACAATATATAGTAAATTAAACTATGCCCCTATGAGCTTATAGTTTAATCTGAATGGGAACAATTTAATTGGACATCAAAATCAAACAGACACCTGAATATAAATTAACGTTAGATTAAGAACACTGTGTATAAGCAGAGGAGTAAAATGCATTGAGTGGCTAGTCAATAAATTGGTAAATATTCATGCTGAGTAAAGCCTGGGGAAGTTTTTTTCCCTCTGTTATTATCAAGAAGGCTACATTTAATTGATGGGGCTACAGGCCCTGCTTAAAGAAGAAGCCTGGCTATTTCCCAGTGAAGACATTCAAACTACAGAAGGCAATCTGGATTCTAAGAGGAGGAGAACCATGTGTGACACGGCCTATGTCCAGTAACCCAGAGGTGGTCCCCAGTACCATGAGAACTCGCAGTGGGAAACGTAAAGGATATGAAAGAATCTGATTAGATGCTATGTCTGAATTAATGAAGGTAGATGTTTTATTGAAATCCTAATTATAAGTGGCAAGGAAAATAAGACAAAAGAAAAAGAAACCCAATTGTGATTGACTGTATTTGTTCTCCAATTTCTTTGTTTTCTAGAAACACAACTATCAGCAAATTAATTAGTTTTCTAAATTTAATAATGAGAGATTTCTTGTAAACTGCAATAGAATTATATGATACATTTAGACTTTTCCTTAGCATTAGGTACCATTTTACTGAGGCTAATTTAAATGCTAAAGTGTAATGTTTAGAGAAATCAGATGAATTATCAAATAATTTACCTTCTAATTTTAAGCTGGCCTATTTTCCTACAGAATTTATTTTTATTATAAAAACCCACATAACTATTTCCAAACAGTTTCTCTTGTTTAATAGTCTATTCAAAATGTAATTTCAGGATTATCTCTTCAAGAGGCTCTTATGCCAAACCTGTTTACAGGCAAATTAAAGTGGAAAGTTATTTTTTCTTATAATATGGAAAGTGTCAGCACTTTTAAATCAATTCCCATAAAGATAAATAAACATTGCTGCAAAGGAATTAACCAATTAAGACAAAAATGCTAAATTTATGATGAGAGAATGTGGAAAAATTGGAAGGTATAAATTACTTAACCTGCCACGTTTCTAATATGTCTAATTGGCTTTGCAGTATTTCACCCGTGACCACTGATGCCCTAAAGGATGTTTCCAGGGAAAATAGCTAAAGAGCGCAAGGTCCACTAATGTTGACAGCACATATCGAGGATCTTTCTGACAGTCCTGACGGTGCTGACGAGCACACCCCTGTGTCACAGGCCCTGTGATCCAACATTGATTTAGGAAATACAGTCATAATGCATAGCTCCCATAATAGGCTGAAAGAGTGGAAACAGTGTAGGAGAAGGATGTTAATAGACCTAAGCCAGAGGTCCAAGAGCTGCATGAAGACGACAGTAAACATAGGAAAACATCAGAAGCAAAGCTAGAGTAAGATCATTTATTTGAGAAACTCCAAGACACAAGTTAAGAATGTGAGAAGAGGAGATGCTAAGAAAGTTGTACAGCAGAAACGTTTGAGCTGCTCTCAATAGAGCGGAACTGATAAGGCCATAGCAGTGACAGGAATAGACAGACAGCTGAGGAACAACCATGTTGATTTCTCCCGAAACCTGTGTCCTGGGACCAATGGCATCAGCATCACCTGGGGTCTTGTTACAAATGCAGATTTGAGGGTACCACCCTAGACCTACCAAATCTCACACTCCGTTGGGTGGGACTGAGTAGTCTGTGTTTCCACAAACCCTCCAGGTGATACTGAGGCAAACTAAGGTTCAGAACCACTGGTTTAGAATTTCTAAGGAGACTTTAGCCTCCATTCCTTATCTGGAGTTGTCTTAGTTGCCCTTTACAAATGGGCAAGTGTCGATATAAATAACATAGATATACAACTCCTTTTCAAGTACACACAGGACAGCTACTTATTTTCTGGGTAGCGGGTATTCAAATTTCTTCTGCCACTCAATTTGTTTAGGAGCAAGTCATCAGCACGTGCCTTCAATGAATATGAGAAAATAAAAATTAAATTTAGTACTGGTAACCCAAACACAAGTAGAATATTAAATATGCTGCACTCCAAGGTTTTATAATACACACACACACATACACTTCATAGAAAGCACTTGACATAAAAACATCAAGTATTTAAAATTATTGTTCTATCAGTTCCAACAAATGAAACATAACCACTTTAAAGTAAAAATAATTTAAAGATTGTGGAGGTATAATAGTAGTTATAACTAAGAATGAATTTTCAGTTTTCTATCTTCTCTCTGTCTTTTTCCAAGATATTGGTATCTGCCAAAAACTATTAAAGAAACAAAGAGCTGATGCAAAACAAAAGCTATCACATAAAAATGATTGATCTTATTTCTTTACACTCCAATTGCTCTTATTTGACTTGTAATTAAGTAATAACATGGACTGAAATAAAAATTATAAGCCATGTTTGTAGGGTCCTCTTTCAGAAGTAAGGTAACATGGTCATCACAATGATGACTTGTAAAGAAGAATAATTTCTGTTTCAGTGTGAGGCCATTGCGAGCTCTCCTCACTGGCAAGCTCACCTTGTTAAGTGGGTTATTTGGTCATATATGTCATTGTAATAAAGGGCAGTGTCTTACGGTTATTTGACTCCAACTAATTTTATTTCATCTTTTTAAACCAAATGAACTGCTTATATCCACAAAGACTGCTAAACATTCTGACATTTTCCTAATTTCATAAAATGATCATGGAATGCTATGATATACTAAAACTATTTTATTTTTGTTTATTTCCTTTTTTACAACCTTTATATCCTGACATAAAATACATTGAAAGTTCCTTTAGTATCCACAAGCCCAATGATAATGTTCTCAATGTAACTTTGAAGCAAGTACAAAATTGTTTATGATTTTAAATACTGCCTTAAGTATGATACTTTCTTATATTGCATTATATAATGCACAAATACACATTAACGACGTGCTTTTAAACTTTTTCTCCTGTAGACAAAGAGAAAACATAGCTAGGGTTAATATAGTTTTTAAACATAATTCTATAATGGTAGAGAGTTTACTGAGTAAAAGGTAGTTTACTCATAAAAATTGTTTTGAGCCATATTTTTTTAAAGTTGCTATTCTCATTGGATTTATTAAATTAAATGAAAAGAAAAAGAAAATCTGCAATCTGAACTTCATTTTTTCAATCCGTAGAATCTCCTTGGAAAACACACACACACACACACACATATATATATACTTTTAAAAAAATTATTCCGAAAGGAAAGAAAAATCTTTGAACCCTTCTCTGAATTGTTTTTTCCCTCCTTTATTATAGGTATCCATGTTTTCAGCTAAATTAATCTTTCAAAACAAAAAAGATGGATTTCTTAAACTCATCTGATCAAAACTTGACCACAGAAGAAATGTTATACAGAATGCCATCCAAAATCCTGGTGTCCCTCACTCTCTCTGGTCTGGCACTGATGACAACGACCATCAACTCTCTTGTGATAGCTGCAATTATTGTGACCCGGAAGCTGCACCACCCAGCCAACTATTTAATCTGTTCCCTTGCAGTCACAGATTTTCTTGTAGCTGTCCTGGTGATGCCTTTCAGCATTGTGTACATTGTGAGAGAGAGCTGGATTATGGGGCAAGTGGTCTGTGACATTTGGCTGAGTGTTGACATTACGTGCTGCACATGCTCCATCTTGCATCTCTCTGCTATAGCTCTGGATCGGTACCGGGCAATCACAGATGCTGTTGAGTATGCCAGGAAAAGGACTCCCAAGCATGCTGGCATTATGATTACTGTTGTTTGGATTATATCTATTTTTATCTCTATGCCTCCTCTATTCTGGAGGCACCAAGGAACTAGCCGAGAAGATGAATGCATCATCAAACACGACCACATTGTTTCCACTATTTACTCAACATTTGGAGCTTTCTACATTCCATTAACATTGATTTTGATCCTCTACTACAAAATATATAAAGCAGCAAAGACGTTATACCACAAGAGACAAGCAAGTAGGATTGCCAAGGAGGAGCTGAATGGCCAGGTCCTTTTGGAGAGTGGTGAGAAAAGCACGAGGCTGGTCTCCACACCATATACACTAGAAAAGTCTCTATCTGATCCATCAACAGACCTTGATAAAATTCATAGCACAGTGAAGAGTCCCAAGTCTGAATTCAAGCATGACAAATCTTGGAGAAGGCAAAAGATCTCAGGCACAAGAGAGCGCAAAGCAGCCACTACCCTGGGGTTGATCTTGGGTGCATTTGTAATATGTTGGCTCCCTTTTTTTGTAAAAGAATTGGTTGTTAATGTGTGTGAAAAGTGTAAAATTTCTGAGGAAATGTCCAATTTTTTGACATGGCTTGGATATCTCAATTCCCTTATAAATCCACTGATTTATACAGCCTTTAATGAAGACTTCAAGAAAGCATTCCAAAAACTTGCGCAATGTCGATGTTAAAGAAAGTTCATTATTAAAAGGTTGGGAGCTTTTTGAGGTGAAGTAATTCAATGAATGCTGAATAATAAAACATTTAACCTTTTGGAAGAAGAAATAAAACTGCTAAAGTGATAGAAATATGATTTATATTTTAATAGCAACATGAATATAAAATTTATTGATTAAAAGATGTTTCTTTTAACCATCATTGTAGACGACTCCAAATTTGAATAATTTATTGTTTATAAACAATATTTTGCCTATGCAAATTTCCTAAAAGGCTATCTAGAAATGTATATATTATTAAGAACAGTAATTTTCCAAGCTTATGTCTTACAACCATTACAGAAGAGTGTTCAATTAACAACATACCTCCATCCATAATTTCTATATAATCCTATTGTTTTATTAGGTAATTCTGTTATTTTATAGAAAGGATATAATTCACCACAGAACACACATTTCTGCTACTAACCACTCTTGTCCCTTCTCCATCTCACCCTGTGCAAAAGGGGCGGAGGAAGGAGCTCACAAAGATTGTTACTTAGTATGACAGGAGGAGACATAAAAGTCAGAAGTTGATACTGTTTTTGTATTTAGCTAGGAAAGAGTACTCATAAAGTAAGTTAGGTACTGCAAAATAATTTTGGATGCTGTACTTGTGCGTATTTAACATATTCTTTTTGTTTAATATGAATTCCTAGAAGGATATTTTCTTAACCATATGTTATCAACATTTGAAATCAAGGCCTTACCCTAGTAGCAATAACTCAGGGAGTGGGGTGGGGGGCATGTTATAACTGCCCCATGTTTATTTAGGAATCAAATTTAAGGCACCAAGTTCCCTGAGTTACTCACCATAGTTATTATGCTCCTAACATCTTTTTAAGAGCGTAAAATACACTTCCTCTTTTGTAACGTAATTAAGCTCAGCTGCTAACTAAAATGTCCGTGGTGCTTTGTACTTCAGCAGCTCCATAGCTTCAGTTTACACATAATTTCCTTTTTATTAGAGAGAATGTGATAGAAACTCTTAGAACTTTCCTCTGACTTCAAAAATATCTCTACTTTTCCAACTGGTAGAAATGAATAGGCAGATTCATATTATGCTAATTACATTGTATTATATATAGTATAACTTTAATATATATAATTATATGTATATATCCCAATCACACCACTAGTTCAGTGAGCCAAAGCAATTCCATAAGTTTCTCTTCCATCTTTGTATAGGGATTTAAAAATGGAAGAATCGTGCTTCTGAGATTTCATTTTCTTTAAACCAACAAGGTCATAGACCACATTTTGGAAGGCATACCATTGACCAAGATAATTTGAAAAACAATACATTCCTTTTTGTTTTTAAGCTGCACTTTTACGTGTATTCTAAATATTCTTTCCTAGTGGGGTGCTTAAGAGTTCATTACATCAATTTTTTATGTATCTATGACACATTACTCTCAATCTAACAAATATTTACAGTTCTTATTTTATATAAGGCATTGAGACGTACTACACAGAAGATACGGGAAATAATAAAATACAGTTTCTCCCCTTAACATGTTTACAATCTAAAAAGTGAAACAAAAAAATGAAAACGTTAATAGAAAAAAAACACAAAGATCTGGCATGGAAGTTGTTTACACAGCTATGATGGTTCAAAGGAAAAATTGATCACACCTGGTTGTGAAAAAATCAGCAAAATTTCATAAAGAATGTACATAAAATAGATATTAAACAGCATTTGGGAAAGAAGTGGTGGTAACATCAAGAGTTAAGATTGAATTCTGCAAGATTTGGTGGAGCATGTTCATGAAACAGCAATGAGTTTGGCAGCCATTTAGAACAATAGAAAAAGAGATTAAAAGAGAAATTGGCCATTATTGTGGCTGACTTTGAATATCAGAAAAAGAATTCTATAGTCAATTTGGTTGTTACATGTCAACGGATTATCATTGATGCTTTTTAGCAGAAATATTACAAGTTTAGGGTAATTCTAAATATATATATATACATATATATATATGAATGGATTTGAATAGGGAGTGCTAGAGATAATGACTTCTTGTTAGAGAGCAAATCAATAATCCAGGCAAGAGGTGATGAAGTCTTGAACTTGATTCTGGCAATGGGAATGTAAAGGAAGAAATGAATGAGAAATAGTATGCAGGCCAAATCTACAGGATAGAGCAAACACATTAATAAACAGACAGAGAAACATGAGATGGAGAGACACTGAGATAACTAGTCCTCAAATGAAATGAGGAACTCGAGAGAAGTGACCTGTTGGTGAGCTGGTGACTTCTGCTTTGGGTGTGTTACACACGTAAAGACGTCAGAGCTCACAGGCACTACTGAGCAGTCTGGTCCAAGCAAAACCAACCAGTAATGAGATTTATCTAAGGCTCCTGCCACCTCTTTTGTCCCCTTCTCCTCTCTTTATCTCCCAGGGCCTTTATGCTGTGTTGACAGTCCAAAGGCTGCTCATCGTTCTCTGCTGACTTCTCTTTCCCCTCCTCATGAAAATCTGATTCTTTGATTTATTCATCCAAAGGCCTTGCTAAAATGAAAATAATCTGTTCAATTAATTAATTTACACCCACCTCAGAAGTATATATACTTATATTGTAGAACTCTAAGCAACAGCCCACCAACCCAAAGGAACGAATCTCAAGCAGGGTGAGGCTTGCACAATGCACATTCTACCCTCTCCTCTGAGTCGGGAAGAAGCTCAAATCCAGGAAAATAATACTGCTAGTGACAGGGAAGTCAACTCTCCCTTCATAGCTCCGGGGAGAATCAAGTCTATTGTTTCTGAGTGTACGAAGCATTTTTTAATCCAAAGGGGCACAGCACAGCACAGCAATTATTACTGCATCCACGCGTCTCCCTCACGTGCTGAAGGCACTGGTCCCGCCAGCCCTCAGGAGCAAATACGAGTGATTTCCCTCTAATTTCTTTAAACGGTATGTAATATGGGGCTAATAACCTACAATTTGCACTTTCTTGGAAATTTATGAAGAACAGATTATGCGTAACATGAGACAATTCCCTGAATACAGAGGATTTATTCTCTCACTGAAAATTGTCGGAGTAACTAAAAGCTGAAAACCTGTACAGAAAAAAATACAGTTTCACATTTATTGTTACCTTCATTTATAACAAATGTAACAATATAATGATGATAACTGATAAGGTAGAGGGAGAAAACATAAATATCACAGAGAGTGGGTAAATGTTATATAATGAAGGTTAACTTCCTGCTACAATTTTAAATATGCCAGCACCAGCAAAGTAAGTAGGGGTTCATTTTTGCTCTGATTCTTCTAAATATTTTCAAGTGAAGGATGTGTGAAAGGTGAGGACAAAATACCAGAGAAAGAAAGTCAAAGTACTGGATACTAAATCCAGTCCAATACCCCACCATTCAGCATAGCTATGTACACATCATATTTGAAAACCCACTTCTGCTATGAAACATGGTCTTTGTTACAGGACTGCTGTAAGAATGTGGATTGCCTAACCTAAGAGTTTTGTTTGTTTGTTTCGTCTCCCAATAGGCCCACAGGGTCAAATCCATAGCACGCGCAGGCCATCTAGGTAGTGGCAGTGGATGGGGCAATCCTTATGTAGGACCAATTTCCATACTGACACTCCAAACCCACTTTTTCTCTCCCTTTTCTGGTGAACTTGAGCCCCTCCTCCGTGCTCAAGGGCGCCCACGTTCCCTGCTTGCAAGTGAAGAAAAGCTTCTTGAGGCCTCTTTTGAATTCTTGCTTATATCAGCTATGTCAGCTCTAAATGTTAAAAGTCCCTTAGCAGAGTATAATCCCCATATCACAGGCTCAGTCGTAAGCTTGCCCCTCTGTATCCAAGAGTTTTGTGTCAAAAAGAAATGAAGAATTAAGTGGAAGCCAATTACTAGGAAATGTGTTGACTTGCTCCATCAAATTTCCTTAATACATTCTAAAGTCTTTCAAAAATAATCTGCTCAATTCTAAATGTGTCCACAGTAAAGTAATTTGTTTAAGAAAATGTGTTTCTAACATCCTCCTAATAACTAAATGATTATATTCAGACCTTTATTTTGCCAGAACATATCTCTGTCTTGAATAAAGTAAATATTTTCTTACGACATTGTGATAATTTTTCGTGGTCTTATGAATCAATATGTTTTCTCCCATTATTTAAAATGAGGAACTTATTGCTAAGAGAAATATTTTCCAACATTATAATAAATATCTGGTTATTGATATGGAAGATCTGTGTACAAAACATTAGTATTTGAAATCCACCTGAGAAGGATAAAAATTTTTCAGAGAAGTTACACTCTGTGGTTAGGCCACAAATCATAAAAATTCTGAGAAAAAATATTTAATATTATCTTTATCAACAGCAGCAACAATAAATCTTGTCAAAGCAGCCTTCCAATAAAGCTTGTGTCTAGTCACAGTTCCAGTTCCCACCATGGAACCTTTCCACTTCTGCAAGGGCAATAAAATGACCTTGTTCGTTTATGCAGACAAAGCAAAGCTTTCTAGGTCTACCTTCCTATGCCTTCCAATATCCTTTTCATTATATTCAATTAATATTTCTAAACTATATGTAACTAATATTCATTCCTAAAAATTATACTTATTATATCATTATATTATATTGTATATATTGTGTCATCATTATTATTATATTATACTGCAATCCAATTAATAAGGGAAAATTTTACTCATGCCCACCCCATCCTCCCAGACACACACACATTTCCTCTTTGTGTTAGTTGGCCTGGCTAGGATTCTAGTGGATCTGTGACCCTAAGAGAGAGAGTGTGTCTGTGAGAGAGAGAGTGTGTGTCTGTGAGAGAGAGAGTGTGTGTGTACCTGTGAGAGAGAGAGAGAGAGTCTGTGAGAGAGAGAGATTTTGCAGATATTAGGAAGCACTGAACTGGAAAAAGAGACGATCTTCTTAGCACAGCACACTGTGGAGCTTGGAGATGAAGGAGGAAGAGGAGGAGGAGGGGGCATTTTCAACAGGAAGGAAGAGGAGTAATATCAGATTTTAAAACCAGTGTCCAGAAGAACCCCCTGAGACGCTGGTGACAAAGGCAGATGCCAGAGATTCTGAGTCTGTGAGTCCAAAGCGGAGCCCCGGAATCAGAGTCTTCAAGGTTCTCCCGTTCCTTAACAAAGGTGGAGTTTGGAGCCTTTCTACCGAGCATGGCTTGAATGCTCCCAGCTAGCTAGTTAAATGTTTTGTGGGACATAGTTATAACAACTGAAAATGAAATTTCACCACCATTTTACTAGCAGAGTCCCAGTCAGAAACCAGAAAATTATTTTGCTACTAAATGAAAAGTGCTTAATGCAAAACTGAACAGAAGTAAAAATCACATCAACATTGCTGAGTGGATTACAAAGCATTTATTAAAAAAAAAAAAAAAACCTACTAAAATCCGTTTTCAATCCGTATATTCTTTAAGTTTTGTTAGGGCAAAGAATAAAAGCTTTTCATCACATCTGAGGCAGCCATTTGGAGTAGAGTTCTCCAGATTTGAGATCAGAAAGGCTAACTAGGAGTCCTGACTCTGCTAAACATTAACTTGACGCTGAGCAAGTCTCACGGACCCTGCTTGCCTCAGATTAGAGCTGAAAGACGAAGGAGATAAAGTGAGATAAGGCAAACGCTCTTGACAAACGCCAAAGGGCTACAAAATGTAGGTGAGCACTGTTATTATTCTTTACGGTAGGTCTGGAATGAGTCAGAGTGCACCTGACACCGAAGCTGGTGCTCTGCATCATGCGCTGTCTTTTTCCGAGCCTGGAGAGAAGCCAAGCTGTTGATGGCCTCCCGGGCTGCCTCTCTCCTTGGTGAGCAGTAACTCCCAAGACCCCTAGCGGCAGCTACAGTCATGGGGCTGGGCGCTCGCCAGTCTCTGCCCTGCTCTGTCCTGCCTTCCCTGTTAGTAAAAGCCTGGCTTATTCCAAGCTTTTTTAGCTTTCTGGAAGGATGCAGTGCAATCCTCCTACTCTATTAAAATCATAACTGCAATTAAGTCCAGCATTAACGTCTTCCATCGATATATTCAGAGGTGATTTCCCATATGTTTCAGGATTAGGGTTTTATTTTAATTCTTTAAATATTAAAGGGGAAACTTCCATTTGAAATGAGAATTCTAAGTTGATGAAAACAAGACTGGAGGCTTACTTTTAGGCTGTATTGAGTGTAAGAACAAAACAGTACTAATTTATACAAGAAAATTAATATTCAAGGAAACTACTCAATGATGGCTCCCTATTGCTTATTCTTTGCATCCAAACTCTCTGGCTTGGCTTTTAGGGCCTAAATGTTAATAACAAAAGACATCGATCTGGAAAGTCCTATTTCCCACTATCCTCCCTCGCTCCAACAAATGCTCTCTCCAGTCTGGCCCCTCTCTTCATTGTCCTCACAATATACCTTGCTCATTCATGTCTCCATTGCTCTTTTCACTTTGTTTTCCCCTCCTACCTGAAGCGCCCTTGAGGTTTAAGCAACTTATCCTCCAAAACACAGATTAAATTCTACTTCCTTGAAACTGAATCTGCATTCAGCTTCACTATTGCAAAGACACAATATTGTCTTCAATATTCCCTACTTATTTTTAATATCTCTAATTTCTTCATGAGCGTTTGGTTTTTATGCCAACTAAAAATAATAGTGTAAGTTACTTAAAGGATATATGTTCTCTCTATTCCTTCCATACCTATCTCTAATATTTTTTAATACTGATCTCCTTGTCTAAGTGAGCCTGGTCCATTTCACTGTGTTCTAGTAACTAAAGTATAGTTACAGTTGATTTATCTTTATTCCTAAAGTCAATATAAAGAAATACAAGTGCATTATTATCAAAAAGGAAACTGAGAGGTAATGTGTGTTTTGCTAAAAGTAGAAAACTAGTCCTTATTTTTCAATGATTGGGGACTATTTTACTGACAATGAAATACATGAGATTCATAGAACATTAATTTTTCAGAAATGTTCTTGCATAATGATAAATTTCAGTAAGTTGTTTGGTAATTATATATCATATATGCACTATATAAAAATGCTTTAAATTGCCTGTTTCTAAAGATAGGATTTTGATTGCTATTCTAAAACAGAAATAAATAAATACAGTTGGTCATATTAAAATATTGGCTATTGGCTGTTGGCCTCCTGCTGTGAAATCACTCCTCCTTGCACCCGCTCGCTGGCCCCAGTCTCCGTCTGCTCCACAATTTGTATGTGGATGAAAAGAGGACAGCACTTTATAGCAGGAAGTCTCTCTGCCATGAACTAGAAAACGCAAGATGTTCTTCAACTCAGAAGGAACAGTCCTTGCATCCTGGGGAATTCTAGAAATCATTCTAAGTATATTGAAAAGCTGGAGAAAGAACATTTCTTATCGGTTTCATTCAGCTCAAGCATCTTAAAAGAGGTAATAAGGAATCCGGGCCCACACCCAGCTCACTGTCCCAGGTGACTGTGTTGGTACAAGCACTCTTCGGCTGACCACAGATGGAAATGCCAACTCTTTAAAACTGCCTGACTCTGCAGCAAGTACTTCAGACTCTCTCCAGTGTGGGAGACACAGGGTGTAAGCTCTGGGAACCAAATGAACTCCCTTTGTTCTCCAAAGGACCTGTCTGTTATGATTGTCCTCTAATCCACAAACTCAGGTTCCAATTACACACTCCTAATAAGAGGGAATAAAAGGTGAATTGCAAGTTCATATTTTTATCTCTTGTGTTTTCATTTATGTTGATGCTTCAGAATATAAAACCTGAATTCAGCAATGACTTTTTGTGTTAAGCCTGATTTTCTTTTCTATTATATCTTCCTACCAATCTAAAACTTTAAATGCTATTTGTTCTACTTGCCATACTTATACAAAAATAACTCAGATTATAAATGCATGCATCCTTTAGGAAGCTTCTGTCCTTTTCCCTGTTCTCACGGTATGTCATAAGCCAACATGTGGAGGTTCAGGTTAGATAACCAACTTCTTATGTTTGTATTTTCCATTGACAATGGCTGACCTAGAGTTGTATGTGAACCTGAGCCAAAACTTTAAATGTAAGATCCTTTAAGACCAGTGTCAAGATGTGATGTTAGCATCTATATCTTCAAAAAGCAAACGTGGTATTCCCAGTGTGCTGGTATCACAAAGTCTTCCCATTAATGAAAAATAACATATAGCAATCACCTTTAGTAAAAGAAAAACAAAAAGACATGAAAAACCACTTAACAGTTTTAATAGCAATTGCCCAAACTATAGAAAACATTCAAGCATGAATTTTAATAGTCTGTGAAATATGAGAATCTACTCAGTTTGTTGCTGCTAAGAGCATAATAAAAATAAATGTATGTTAGAATTTGATATTGCTTAGCCCAAAAACATAGTAAAATGTGAAATAAACCATGTCCTTCAAATAATGAATGTTGGCTTTAATTTTATCATTTCAAAATATCTATAGCATTCTATTAAAAAAAACTATAAAAAAAAAATTTAAAAAAACTATAAAAGAAGAATAAAAATATGCAGCAGACATGGATTTTAAGTGTCCACGTGTTTTCCCACAGTGTTTGTGGAAGCCTGAGCTGTAAAATGAGTCTCTCTTATTTGACTGTATGAGCTACCATCAGTTCACTTCTGGTCCTTCACCTCACTTCACTGAAAGAGTTTACATTCTCAGTTTTAAAATTCCATTTAGAACAAAGACAATTCCTTTTACTTTCCTGAATGAGAAAGAAAATCAGTAAAAAATAGTTATTGAAATACTGTTACTAAATAATATTCAAGTGCACATGGAAAAGAACGATGGGAGTTTTCTTCATCCTGCATTGTTTTATTCTGAGGTCCAATCTTTCAAGAACAGTTTTGAGTGCAATCACATGGAATTATGTACTAGATTTTGAGAAACAGCTTCTTTGAACTTTTCCCTCTCAAAATAAATCCTGACAGAGACGAAATGAAAGAAGTGTGGGCACCTGAAGAGGAAGAGAAGAAAGGGTTATAGATGGAGTTAAACAAAATGTTTGCACATATTCTACAGAGAAAGATATATCTTCATTAATTAAGGAAACTATTCGAAGGAAACAGGAAAACAAACATTTGCA